TTCAGGGTTCATTTGCTTCATGCCATTTTTAATTATTGATCTGAGAAAATACATAACAGATAATTTAGACTTTTCTTAACGAGTTTGTGCATGATATCTATATGAGAGTCTACATCTGATGAGACAATTTAAGAACATGTCTTAAATTGTTAGGTTATTTTATTTTTGGTTTTGTAGCATCTTGTAGTGTGGAACAGAACTATAAAAGAAAAGGGGTCTTTTAATCTACCTCCTGTCAGTGCTAATATTCCACTGGACATAATGAAAAAAATGGCTTCCAGCATTTTCTTGAAATGGTCAAACTGATTCCTTATTCTCACCAATGTTGTCACACACATTGCTAGATTGAGAAGTAGCAAAATGGGCTACATTTAAATTTTGAATTGACTTTCTTATTAGTAGCCCAAGTTAGCTAATTTTTAACATAGAGCACTCTGCATCATTTATAAATATTACTTCCTTTACTGTATGTGGAATCCCCTCAAAATATAGGGTTTTATATATTAGTTTTATATATTTGAAATTGCAGTAGCTTGGCTCTCAATTTCAGTCATGGTTCTTTTAGGTGTTGACACAGAAGGATATGACTACACAACCAAGAAATTCAAATTCAACTTCCATTGGCAGGACTAACATTTTGCTTGGCAAAAATACTCATCTACAGTGTTAAAGGTTAATGAAATAATCCAAAATATTGTAAATAGCCAAATTCCACATTTAGTTTCCCTAGGCGTTTTACAAGTAGCCTAATCTGGTATCCATATAGCATACTTTGTTTTCTAATAATATGAACATAAGCATGTTAATAAATAAAGAGATTGAACAAGAGATTTATCTTATTTAATTGTTCCAATTGTTGCTGCTGCTGTTGCCAACATGGCTATTGTCATTTATATTGATTGACTGTATATTGCTTTGTATCTTTTCTCTGTTCTGTTGACAGCATATTGATTAATGTCACTCCAATTGGATTAATTTTATTCTGATCTTCCTGTCTTCATAAATGCCTTTTGATGCTAAAATAATCATTTCTTTGCATTCTTTTGCTTCACAAACTGAACTCTATGGGAAACAATTTTGTCTTCACTTGTATAAGTTTTTTAGTGTTCTTTTGTTATAAATGCTTAAACTAGAAACATTGGAATGGTTCTCAATGACTTGGGACCAGAAATGATGATTGAAGCTAAAGAATAGGCAGGAGCTCTTTCAATTTCTATTAATATAAGACCTTAACATTCAGTCCTGGGATTCATTTAAACCGTCATATTCTAATTGCAATAGAATAAATCTTAGGAAAAGTGAACACTATATTAGCAAAAATGTTTTGTCAAAAGTGCCAAAAACTTTCTTCTCATTTATAAGTCTACTATTCATCCATACATTGAATGCCACAATATTGTCTGGTGTTCCTGCTAAATATCTCAAGATTCTTGATAAAATTCAATGAAGAATCTGCAATGTTATCAGTCCTGACCTATCTTCTGGCACTTTTCCCACTTTTGTATTGCAGCTTCCCAATGCATGGTGCCTCACTTTCATAAATTTAAGCACAGTATTGAAGTCACAGTATTCAGTTATCTCTCCTAACACGTGTCCTTTGTTAACAGGTGTAAGAAGCATGGTATAATGGTATCATAGGATGGTTATTGCCAATCAAAAGTACATATGTGTGCTTATATATATATATATATATATATATATATATATATATATATATCACACACACAGACTATATACTGTATCAATATGAAGTCTGAGTTTTGCTGATACACCCCTTATTTTTGTAATCTACATGCACGTATTGATCCTTACGGGCAATCATTTACCATAATCTAGCTATATATGAATGATTGATTGACTGTTTTTCTACAGCTTATTGCAGGTTATTTAAAGTTTTAATAATGGTTTAATGATACAGGGCTTACTAATTATCCCATATCAGGGAGAAGAGGTGATTAATATGATTTCCCATGAGTATTTGCACATAAGTGAATATAACGAATCCAACTGGAATTGGAACTCTGCTCTCTGATTAAGAATTCTGAGCCATTATCCATTACACCACCTGCACATCCAAGCTTATGGCACCGGGTATTCCCAAGCAGTCACAAAATGTAAGTACTGACCAGGCTCAACGCTGGTTAACTTCAGTGATTGTAAAGGAGCAGCCAGTGTTTCAACATGATAAGGCCGTAAGCCTATAATACGAAAGTTTTGCACTGTCTTTGCTCAATGAGGAACTGGCAAACAATATCAGCCAAGGTAAATTGTTGAACATCTTGCAGAGAAATGTTTAATTTTGAATAAATAGAAACACATGTTCAACTGCTTCAATTTTATTTTCCTTGTTTGTTTGTGTGTGAGTGACACCAGGTGGTTAGACTGTTAGTATTTCAACCATGAGACCTGGGTTCAAATCTCATCCTGGTCAATTTGTGAAGGAGTTGACTGCTTGATAACATCAGCCTGGGGAGACAATCCCAGCATGTGATGTCTTTCTGTGTAGTGCTTAAAAGAAAAAATGATTTGATTTTAAATGAATGGTTGATCCAAGCATTACAAGTGAAACTGTTGAGGATAGGAGGGGGCTGTCTATAGTCATGCTTGTGCAAAATCACAAGTTATTAGGACCAAGGGTTCACTCATATCGACCTTGTTCAACTCTGAATCATGCCAGAACATGCACTTTCTCCTGGAAACTTCAACTAAGCTCCATTAAGGATAGTTGCAGTATAAACTACCATTTTATTCTGTGATTGTTGAGGTAACACAAATGTGCCTGAGCAAGTGTCTGCAACAGGGATTAGCAGATGGGTTGGGTGTGTTTAGAAATGATCAGTCATATATATATATATATATATATATATATATATAATTTAGTTGAATGGATATGTTAGCTCTGTCACTGATATTGAGCACTTTTTAATTTTAATAAGCACCACACATATATAAAATGTGTATGTATGTGTGTTATTTTTAGTAAATGTGTGTTTGAGTTGCTATCCTTTTTTTTTTTTCTTTTTTCTTTTTTAAACAGTGAAATTAATAATAGGTTTAGATTGAGAAATCTTTTTAAAGAAAAGATTTTGACTCCCTTTTTTTTCATTGGGGAAACCACTTCTATGGTGGAAAATGGAATACAAGTTCAATTCTTGTTGGGTTGGCATAACTTTTCTATAGTAGAAGTTTTTGATCTAGACCGTTATTAATTTCACCATTTAAGAGAAGAAAAAAAAAAACAGGACTAGCAACTCCAACACATTTACCTACTAAAATTAACATTTATCCTAATAAGAAATAATGTTTTAAATTTTTTAAAATCCCCTTTTTAAAAAATATTTTATCACCACTGGTAAACTTGCCATTAATTTAATAATAGTTTAATTAAATCACACATCACCAACATAATAAAAATGAAGAAATTCAACAAATCCTTATCAATAACACAAAGGTATAATATATAAACTGTCAAAGAGGCAACTAATATACAAGAAACATTAAATATAAACACAGATAAGCCTCTATCAATTATAGTTTTATCAAGTTTAGAACAATCATGCTATATTTTTTTGTTAATAAAAAAAGTAAAAATACAAAACAGGACTAGACTAACTGATGTGGGACAATGTGACACCTTTTAAAAAAAAATAACAAAAATCAAGTGATGTGTGAAGAAAAGAATTTTATTTATTTTTGTATATTACTATTCACGCAATGCAAAGCCCAAGTGTCACTCAAGATAGAGGGTTACTGTGTGGTGTTGTATGAGAATAAGAAAAGTCATGGGGTAAGATAACAGTTAACCAGTGACTGGGGAAAACATCCTGCCAGGAGTCTGTTTCACAAAGCAACAGTTCTTAGCAAGAAGCTGACAAGGGGAACTTCATCCTTACTAATGCAATAAAAAGGGAATGAGGTTGCTTCATCCTTATGTATATGGCATGGCTGGTCCCATTTGTAAACGTCATGGTTGATGGGACCAATAAATGTAGCTCATCAGAATACCTGCCATGGAAATAGTGATGTATTGTTTGTGGAGAAAGAGATATTTGGGAAATGATAAAAATGACATGGGGCCCCAAAAAAACATTTTCGTAATTGTTTTATTAAAGTTGATATTATTTATACATTGAATAGTTTATAATTTGGTAGGAAGGATGTATGACAGAGAAAAGTTTTTCATGTGACATGTTTCATCCTTTAGGACTTCATAAATTTATGTTGGTGTGGATACACATGCACAAATGAGGGATGCTGGGAATTTAAATGTTTGTTTTTTTTTTTGTTGTTTTTTTTCATTTAGCCAATTTCATTTAGATTCTTTTTCTTGTTTCCATCACTTTTGTTATTAGATATCCCACAGTATGATAATAGAAGATTTGCCAGGAATGGTAAAATGTTGTAAGATCCAGGATATCAACAGTAAATTTGCGGCCTTATGATATTTTACCATTCCTAGCAGATCTTCTTATCATACTGTGGGGTATCTAATAATAAAAGTGATAGAAACAAAAAGAATTTAAATGAAATATCTGTTAGATTACATACAAAACCATTAAAATTCCCAGCATCCCTTGTTTGTGTGCATTCATAGCCATATCAATATAACAAATTTAGTCTGATATCCTAAAGTACGAAGCGCACAAAAACTTTTTTCCATTTTGTCATACAGTTTTTTTTTTTTTTTTTTTCAATATTGTTCTTGATATATAAAAAACTTATATATCGTTATTTTAGGTTTTTTTTTGTTTTGTTTTTTAAATCTTTGAAAACTAGAAAAATGGTTTGAAATACAGAAAAAAAAATACCCCCTCCCCCGCCAAAAAAAAACAAAAAAAAACAAGAATTTTCACTAAACCGCTATATAATTTTTTCTCAATTTTCCTTTGTTAGTTTATCAACTGCTGCTGTTTCTGCAACATTATTCAAATATCTGCACTCTATAACTTGGTTTAAAACCATTTTAGATATTTTTTTCCATTGCATTCTTAATAGTAGTTATGTTTACCCTTATAAATCTATTTTTAGGTAATTCTGTATGACACTTAACCAAATTAAATTTCTAAGAAGTACTTGGAATTTATATCTCAAGTTTCTACTTGTTGAAAAAAAAAAAAAAAAATTTCTTTTTTTTGCTTTGGGATACCCACAACTGCGCCTTTTCAATTTTTGTATTAATGGATAAAATTTGACATCTTTTTTGGAATTCAGTTTTGTCAAAATGACCAACTGCACCTACTGACTTCTCATAGCTATTTTAAACTGTCTTAATCCTGTGATGACTGAAGATGTTTAAAAATTTGTAGCGTTGGTTAACCAGAGCTAGAAACCTGTTCTTTTAAAGGGTGTGCCCTAAGAAATATGTCTGGTGATTTAAATTGAATAGGAGGGGGGAGGGTGGCAGAAATAAATTCTTTTTTCTTTTTCTTTTTTTTTCTCTCATCCTCCTCCTGCTCTAAGTAAATTTGTACCAGAAAAAGGTAACCTGCTTTGAAGGTATGACTAATACACTAAAGATGACTAAAATAAGTTTTAGTTGTGATTTTATATTTGACATGATGTAAATATTTGTATTTATAAGTAATTCCTTATTCTTGCTGGACTTTGTCTTCTGAAGAATTTTTGCTGAATTCTAAAATAAACAAATATAAGATCAGGACAAATTTTGCTGATTCATCCAAAATGCTATAAAACTGATCAGGAGATGATCACTCCTTGTGTCACCTAGAAGCTGGGGTCTGATGGTTTTAGAGACCCAAAACCCAAATGGTACTAGAAATAAGTCACTCATGATCATTCTTCGCACACTGCAAGGGTTTTGAAGATATGGCAATTTATTAAGTGTAGATTAGATGTGGCACAATGTGAAAAATTATGGAGCACCCAGTGAGGATCAAATTTACTACTCGGTCATAATTGATCTAACAAAACAACTTTGTTGAGCATTACACCACATCAAAGTGCACTACTGTGATTTTTCTATGCATAGCTTACATGTGGCACAAACTTGAAAGTATAGGGCACCCAGTAAGGATTGAACTCACTACTCGGTCCTAATTGTTCTAGTGAAAAAAGATTGCTAACCATTACACCATATCAAGGTGCTCAGATGTGTTTCGCAGGATTTAACACAGACTAAGAAAAACAATTTTTCTCTCTCTCTCTCCCACCTTTTTTTCTCTCTCCCATGGAATGTTGAAAGTTTTTCCTTTTTAAACCGTTCTTTTTAATAACAAGAAAGTTTCCATCAAAGCAAATGTTTAGACCTATTAAAGCTTATTGTTTTTAAAATTTGCATCTGGTTTTTCTTTTATATTTTTATGCTTTTTTTTATTGTTATTTCTTTACAACTCCTTTCCTCAAAAATGAATATTCATGGATCTGCTTTTGGAGATCCTTATCTTCTATCTTCACTTAAATTTCTTAATTGATTCTCGTAGATTTTTTTTCATTACATGTTGATTTTTTTTTTTTTTTTTTTTTTTTTTTGCTTCACCTGTCACACTTCATCTGTTTCTTTTCAATTGTTAAACTCTTCTCTGTCATCACTGTAATTGCTTTTAAAACTTTTAAAAGTTACTACCCACAATAAATTTTTTTTTTTTTTTTATAAATACATGTTATTTCTGATTTACACTTATTATTGAGCTTTAAATTCTATTTGTATACTACCTGAGGGTTTGGATACTGGAGTCCTCTCCAGCATTTTTGCCTACAATTTTATAGCTGGCATTTGGCCTGGGATGAAAGTGTAATATTTGTTCCAGTTTCTCTTTGCAATATTTACACATTTTTGGAGGCTGGAAATTGTTATAGTTTACCCCTTCTTAATGTGAACTTTTTTTTTTCTTTTTTTTTTTTTTTTTTTTATCAGGACAATAGTACGAATGTAAATAGTGTAAATTATTGGTTAATTGATCGTTAAATTGTTAAAAATTATAGGTTTTCTGTTCATTGTCTTTTCTATGTTTATTTATCAATTTATAATCTTTTGCATGCAACCCAAAGAGAAATAGAATGAAATGTATTATTGATAGGAATTATAAAGCAGGCTCACCTCACAATTTAGTTTTAAAATTGTTCATAATTTCCTCCCAGCTTTTTTCTTCTTTTTCATCTTTTTTGACTATTGATATTTTTAGATTAAATATTAAAATCATTTTTTCCCCCCAATAAGAAAACTGTTTTCTGCATTTATTTCTAATAGTCCTTGTATATTATTTACTTGTATTATTCATTTGTTTGTTATATACATAAATTTCTAATTTGTGGTTTAAGATAGCAATTATAACTTGACAGTCATCCCCACCCACTCTCTCTTTCACTCGCATTTATTCTCCCCATTGCTACTACCCCTTTTTCCTTTCTCTCACCCATTGCTACCCCCCTTTTCCTTTCTCTCACCCATTGCTACCCCCTTTTTTTCCTTTCTCTCACCCATTGCTACCCCACCCCTTTTTTTTTCTCTTCACCCATTGCTACCCCACCCTTTTTTTTTTCCTTTCTCTCACCCATTGCTACCTTTTTTTTTTTTCCTTTTCTCTCACCCATTGCTACCCAATTTTTTTTTTCCTTTCTCACCCATTGCTACCCCACCCTTTTTTTCCTTTCTCTCACCCATTGCTACCCCAATTTTTTTTTTTTTCTCTCACCCATTGCTACCCCCCCCTTTTTTTTTCCTTTCTCTCACCCATTGCTACACCCCCTTTTTTTCCTTTTCTCTCACCCATTGCTACACCCCCTTTTTTTTCTTTTCTCATTCTCTTCCCCCCTCTCTGTTCTATTCTGTCCTCCCCCCTCTCAGCAGGTGGGTATTATGCTTAGGTTTAAATGATGCCTCCAACAGCTGTGACTATTGTCCATTTAATCAATAGAAATGTGATTAAGTAAAGTTCACTTTTGGCTTAATATGAATTTTTATTATTGATTATTCCTATCTTTTCTATTAAACTGCCAACCAGGTAAGAGCAGAAATTCTGCTATACACAATAATTGTTTACTTCTATTGCATATTCAACATACAAAAGATTCTCTGGTCTGTTTCCATTATCTTAATAAATTTTGCTTTTGTCATTATTTTAATCACAACACTCAGGTGGATATGTTCTTATAAATTAACATGAAAAATGAAATGGCCTTTGACAAGATTTGAATTTGCTTCTCATCATCCTGAGAGAGCCTCTCCATCACCCATATCAATTTAACCCCAAACATGTTAGCCTGATGAAGTCAATTTGAAAATTATATAACTATACCTTTCCTACTTGAATTTACTAATTGCTTAATTGTGTCAACACTGCTTGGTGGTGGGTACGTACACTGAAATTAACAGCCAGGTTGGAGGTTTCCCCCTGCTGGACTCAGCAGTCATGTGTCTGTGAGCGAAGTGAACCTTCAGGTTGGAGGGCAATGGCTGTGGTTTGACTTGGTGATGGATGGGCTCCGCCAGGTTTACTTGCCGATAACACACTACACATGGTTGGATACCTCTCCAACTTTCAACTGAGTTAGGTGGATGGGGCTAGACAGGTGTTTAGCTGTGCTATGACCCTATGACCACACCCACTCATGGGAGTAATGATGATGGTGGTGGTATTGTTTACTTTTTCGCAATAATTGACACAATAGTGTCTTGAATTTATATAATATATAGGTGAAATATTTTCCCAATTCCTTTTGACTACCTCAAATTTCATTGGAGACCATTTCCAATTCATTTTGTTCAATTTAATAGACATAGAACGTGACAGTTATGTGTGATGTAAAAAAGAAAAACGACAAACATTAAAATGGAAAGAACTTGTCGGAATTAATAAAAGCTTTCAATTATTTTTGTCTTATTTAATCATTTGCAAAAATTATTTGACTTTAAATTAGAATATGACATCTTTTAAAATATTTGGAAGAAAGAGATTATATATATATATATATATATATATATATATATAAATATATAAAATAATTTGATGCTGAAAAGTTCATGGCCCAATGCACTTTTCAAAATCTGATTAACAATGTCTGTATTCATTTCATTCTTAGTTTTTTTTTGTTAAAGCAATAATTTTTCAGCATTCTGTCTTTTTATATATATATATAAAGAGAAATATATATATATATATATATATATATATATATATATATATATATATATATATATATATATATATATATAAAAGCAGAGTATAGAAACTAGGTTATTTTATTCTTGTTTTTGTTATCTAACTCCATTTATGTGCTTCAGGACAGGGCTCTCCACAACTTCCTCTTTTGTTACTCTAACCAACATTTGTCCCCTTACTATCCCCCTAGTCTCATACCAGCTTATTAGGTAGGTTACTCGTTGTTTCCATCTGCCACTTAATGTACCCTATGAGTGTCAAATTCTCCAAACCTTCTTTCTTTATTATTGCATACCAGAAATTTTGTGTCTTTCTAAGTACACAAGTCTTTTGTTTTGTTTTTCCATTTTACTTAAAATGTTTTTGTTTACATGCTCTGTTTATGGTATTCTCAGCATCCTTCTGTAGAATCACAATTCAGTTGCTTCAAGTTTCCTCTTCATCTGTAAAAAAAAAATTGTCCACTACCATAAGCGAGAATTGATATTATATAGCAGTTCAGTACACTTTTTGTTTTTAACAATCTTCCTGTTTCTTAATTCTTTGATTTGTTTTGCTTCGAGTTTTTCTTTTTTTTTATTAGGAAATTGAACTATATTTTATACTGGCTCTATTAAAAGAAAGATAAAGAAGGCATGAACCCACTTCTCCATCTTGCTGTGGATAATTAGCAGGATTGCTGAAGACTTTTAGCTTGACAATTAGAAGTGGAGTGTCAGGAATCCCAAACTTGAGAGGAAGAGGGGTATGGGGGTGCTGGCAACCTATCTTTGAAAAAAAATTTTAAAAAAAAAAAAAATTTTTTTTACCTACTCTGTATTATTGCACAGCTGAATATATATATATATATATATATATATATATATATATATATATATATATATATATATATATATATGTGGTACTCAAAAAAAACCTTGGATAGTTTGACTTGTAGTAGAACCAATTGGTATCAAAGGAAAAAATGATGAATAAAAAAAAAAAAGAAAGAACCAAGAACATTAAACTTGGGCAAAAAACAATTGTCCAGGGTTCAAGCTCAGTCCAAAGAAAAAAAACCCTCCAAAACGAGTAAAATGCAACTACGTAAAGTGCTCAATACACGAAGTAGAGCAAAACCTAAGATAATCCTAAGGAGCCAGGCAAGCCTATCTAGGTTTCACCTAAACTGATTGCCAGGGCGATCCGCTTAGGTGAAACCTAGGTAGGTTTGCCTGGCTCTTTAGGATTATATATATATATATATATATATATAAATTTTTTTTTTTTTTTTTTTTTTTTTCTCCAAGCATCTTATCCTTCAGCTTCAACCACCTTGTGATATTTTAAAGAATATTTTGGATGATATTTTGTAATTTTTTTTTTTTTTTTTCCTTTGGACCCACTTCCATTTAAAGTATTTTTTGTTCCATTTAGATCACAATCAAATCATTAATTTATCAAGCAAAAAAAAAAAAATGATAAAGAATTTGATTGGGTACAAACAATTGACAGGAATTTGGATACACCATGTTGATGTTCCACACTACTTAAAACAAAAGGCTAGGAAAGAAATCTCCACCAACACTGGAAAGAGCAATAACAGTAACTGCACTTGAGAAATATATATTTACCTAATAAATCATTTCATAAGAGATTTTATAAATTTTAAGTGTAGTAGCACTGGCTGTCTAGTCAATGAATACCAAATGTTTTCTTAGAAGGTAATGGCTAATTACCATTACTAACCACATGCTTTACTATAATTATATTATCTTTACTCCATCTTATTTCTTTTTATCCCACCCAACACTGTTGATAAACTATTTTAGTATTAGATTTATTTTAAGTTGTTATTTTTCTCACAACATTGATTGATGTGCCTGTAGAGACAAAAAAATGAGGAATGGTTTCTGAGGTGGCTTGAACTCTAATTTTCTAATATTGGAGCTCATCTTTCATTGGTATTAATTTGCTGACTTGTTATCAAAATGAAAATATTTAATCTAAAAATGTCAAATTAATCATGCATGCTCAGTAATAATTTGTTTCCTTTCTATAACATGAAGTTTGGATTGCTGATTTGCTAAAGTTTTAAGATTCATCTGATTGGGTTGATTATTAAATTGATTTATCAGGAAAAAAATTAATTTTGCATTGCACATACACAAAGCATAGATAATGTGAATAGGTATCTAAGTGTTGTTCTTTGTCCCATGCACTGGTATTATGGATTAAAAATTGAGTACTCAGTGAAAAGGATTGGGATGAGATACAGTAAGCAGTAATCCAAAAAAAAATGCCCTTGAGAAAAAAAATACATTATATAGGAAGCTAAATATATTATTTCTCTCTACTTCCCTTTGTTCCTTTCTCTCTCTCTCTCTCTCTCATATATATATATATATATATATATATATATATTAGTGTATATATGTGTGTGTGCGCGCACAATCTTTATCTTTTTCACTCTCATTTCCTCCTTCGTTTCTTTCTTTCCCTTCCTCCTTCTTTCTCTCTCTCTCTCTCTCTCTCTCTCTCTCTTCCTTCTATCTCTCTCTCCCTCCTTCCTTCCATATCACTTTATCCTTTCACCCCCACCCTCTAATATTTCAAGCATTATAAAAAATTTTTTAGAAATTGCTTTTTTTTTTTTTTTTTTGTCATGTCACAAGGTATTGTTAGTTCAATCCTCAGTGTTTACTCTCTCAACTCTGGATTCAATAAATGCCTTATGTCAGGCCAGGCTAATTTTTTTATAGTGTTTTTTCACATTTAATAAGTTCAGCCCTCATGGTTCCCCCACAACTGGCTATAACCTTGTGCCAGACTAGGCTAAACTTAGCAAATATTTTTTTTTTTTTATTAAGAATTGCAACAAAAAAAATGTAAATGATCATATTGTTAGCCAAATTTACATTTGTAATGAAGACTTGTTTGCATGTTTTATCAATAATTTCAATTGAAATTAGCACCGTATTCATTGCTGTTTTAATATCTTCCGTTGAATGAAGTTTTATTTCTTAATGCCCTCAGTATTTCTTAATATTTTTTTTTTTAATTTTTATTTTATTTTTTTGAAACAAATTTTCTATTGTACAATTAATGTCTGAATTGAAATTCACTTAAATTTAAAAGAAAAAAAGAAAAAAAATTTGCCTCCATGACTTTTTATTTAAATGTCATATATCATCTAAAATATCCGATGTTTTATGCACATTATAGAAGATAGGCCAGTGCATTAGTTAGGATTATTTCTTTATTATATACTCAAAATTATCAATATTTTATTTCATCCAATTCACAATAACTCTCCTCTTCCCCGAGAAATACCGTCAAATGAATGGTCAGGAAAAATTTTTAATTTAAAAAGATTCTTTGAATTTTATAAAAATTTTATTTTACAGCTTTATAGCTATTTACCAAGGTTATTAAATATCAAATTTTAACTGCTACAAAGGATAAGTTGTGGAGAGCCATAATCCTCTACATCCTGAGATAACACGGAATATAGCAAAAAAAAAAAAGAAGCCTTAAAGTTTGGCGATCAAGGCTCTCCACGACTTCCTATCCTTTGTAGCTCTTAACAATGCTTGTCTTTTTACTATTTCTCCTGTTCTACCATACATTTACACAAGCTCATTACATAGATTTGCTGTTCCCTTTTGTTCCCCTTGCTTTTGGTAGGTCTCGTAGGTGTCAAATTCTTCAATCCCTCTTACCTCACTGCTTGTTGCTTCCCTCTGTTCCTCATAATTAATTTCTGTTCTCTTGTA